ACAATTCCCAGACCTCCTAGTAACTCAATGTGAACACTGTGAAAGCTAAAGAAAGATATAGCTAGTTTTTATATTAGCTAAAGCAGCTTTATAAGCTGCAAATGTAAATTAAATCTCCAGAAGGGATATTCTGGATAACATTCACACCCTGCAAATAGCAACAGTGAGTATGTCTCAGGCCACAAAACTAACCGACTCTCACAGTACCTCTCTGAATAACAACATGAGTGATGCAGCTGCTGAACAGCTCCTGTGATTTGGGTTTTTTTGTTTTGCTGAGTTGTGTACAATGCAGCTCTGAAGTCCAGCTAAGAGATACTCTGATAAGCATCTTCCTTAGCTGTCTGGAATAGCAAGAGAACTCTAGATACTGATATGCAGAAGGTGCCAGAAATAACATTACACCACTATGTTATGACTACACAGCTAAAGTCCACACAAAGGCACAGAAAGATGGCAACAAGTCGAATCATAGAATCATTTGGTTGGAAAAGATCTTTAAGATCACTGAGTCCAACCATAACCTGTCCAATATTAAACCATGTTTCTAAGTATGCAAAGTATAATGAAAATCTCAAAGGATTGTGTCTGGTTTAAAGGACGCTCTAGTTAACAGCAAACATTTCATAGACTGCACTGATTGACAGGTGTGAGACTGCCAGAAGAGGGTTCAACAGCTTTGCTCTGTTCTCCTTAGACACTCACCTGGGTATCTGGTGGGGAATCTGGCTGTCCTGGCAGGAGGCTGTAGGCACAGGTGGTTGGGGCAGATTCATGATGTTTTTAAAATGGTAGGAAAACACAGACGGGGAGAGGTTGCATTTTCCAGGCCAAATAGTGGGAAATATTTAGTTGGGACATTTTTCTGCCATCAGTAGAAGAAATCAGCATGGAAGATGAAGGCTTTTTTCTTCTACTGGATCTTTATGGTATCCAGTAGCAGTCTAAAACAGAGAATGACCATTGTACAGCTGGACAAACCATGGTGCTAGAAACATACGTGTCTGGAAAACCTGGCCTCCAAAAACCTTTCAGCTCTACAAAACCTGACAACTGCTTGCTCCACCAGAGCAGTGCCAAAATTGGTGGGGTAACAGAACAAACACATTTTAATGCTCTTAAACTGGGCAAACAGTGCAAAAACTAGATAAAATTATTTACTGAGAAATTACCATAAAATGCAAGAATTTCCTTATGGAAAAAGGGATCAGTAGCTAATTTTGTGACTGAGTGCTTGTCCAAAATAATGCAATTAGACATGGTTTCAAAAATGCTGACTAAAATACTACATGCAGGTACATCAGCAGCTGGCAGCTATAACCAGCTGTTAGCTACAGAACTTTCCAGGTAGTTCTATTTACATGGGAAAAAATGCAATACTGTTTAGCAGTTCTTGACATTTCCTGCTTTTAGATACATTCTCTCTCACGACTTCACCTGGAAAATACACATGAACATTACTTAAAATGTAAACCTTTAGTTAACGTCAGTTTTAAGTTTCCATCAAGAAAATATCCATACACAAATGGAATACATAGGCTCTGAATCTTAGAAAGTGAAGACCAAACTGCATTATAGTTGAAATCTATAGATGTTCAACATTTAAACACTAAAACTAGCTGTATTAGTCACAAAGGAACTGATGAATCTGCTAAATATTAGGTATTTTTCACTCAAAACATAACTTGACTTCTCTAATAATTGAAGTATCTATAGGAGATACAGAATACTTGCTACTCCAGGAATGAGTGGTTGGGTTCACATTAAATCCTGTTTTCTCAAAGGCATTCTATTCTTTGTGCTTACGGTTCTTTTCTGAGTACCTGTATAAAGGAGAAATATCAAGCTGGGATTAAATATATAGCATCACCTGAACTGTTGTATTGGGTAGAAGGGAATGCAAGAAATAGGGTGAAGTCTCTGGTTTATCTTCCCAGCCTCTCTTAACAACAGATCAGAAAGGCCTTGACTTGAACACTGTGTCTCAATCATTGTGGTTCCTAGTCAGGCAGAGATAGAACTCTTCCCCAGAGCTGTCTAATCCTTCTTTATGAGTATTTTCATAAACCATTGGCTTCTTCTGTTGACAAATTACACATTTTAAAATTCCTGGTAGGTTGAATATTCTATTCTGGTTGCCTTTTTCCAAACTGAAGAGTTTCAGTCAACCTAACTAACATCACCTTATTCTGACTCTGTTTTGTATCCACTCTAATCTTGTGTATATTTTTTGTACTATAAAGTATCTGTGCTGTGTTCAAAATGGACCATATGGGTTAGTTCTCTAATGGCATAACTTGTTCTGTTAATTTCCTTCCCTACAGTCACCAATATTTTGTGTGGCTTTCTGGCTGCTGTTAGGCATTTGCAATGATGACCTGTCAAAAAATTCACTGTTGAATATGTTTAAAACTGTTGTTCTTCAGGGTCTGCTGTGTACCCTTTCATGCTGAATCTCTCTGACACGGAATATCACGACTCATTCTCTGTGCAGCCAGGCAAAACTTTGATCATGGTGGATGATTTTGTAGTATCAGGAAGCTTATTAACCTCACTGCTCCTCTGTTTCCAAATCAATTTTAAAGTCAACTGAGCACCATGGGCCTCATCAGAGATTGTTGCAGAAACCTTTGCTAACAGAGCAGGTGATCCATCCCTGTGCTTCATTTCTCATGCCTTACTTGGTCACCCTGCCAGGCATCTTAGATTTTTAATGTCAAAAGCTTCTTGAAAGCTTCAGTATATTATGCTGACCTTAGGCTAAAAAAAGTCCATATATATATCAGCATGTTGTAATTTCACAGGTTTTTTTAGACAAATCACAGCTAAGATAAAGGGAGCTAAAAGGTGCCTTTCTTTCTCCGTATTCTTTTCACTCATCACTCATCTCCAATAGAGTTCTCAAAACCACAGCTGTGGCAAGACTAAATGTCCCTGGAGACAGCACATAGTGCTAGACCAGCTTCTGAAGATTCAGGGTAGAAATCTGCTGGTCATCTCACAGGCAAGAACGAAGACTTTCTCTTTCAATGCCTTCCAAAATGTGGTCTCGTCTTCCATGGTTTCCATTCAAAAAAACTCCCAAAACAACAAAACCCAAACCCCATCACCACCACTAAAAAAGCCACCAAAAAATTATCATTTTGCCTGTGATTTATAGAGACTGTTCAGAGCCTTCTCACTGACCCTGTTTCCTTTCACATCTGTATCAGTTTTGGAAATCTCTTGTGACAAAAGAAAAATGAAATAAAGTCAGCTGTTGCAACTTTCCGTTTGCCAAACTATTCATGACATAAAATCCTCAACTCAGGTGTACAATAACCATATCCAGAGCAAATCCTCATTACCCCTAACGATGAGCTTGTATCATGCAAACTGCCATGTACTAGATGATGCTCTAATAAAGAGGATGACATCAAATTCACAATGCAAGCTAATATGCGATTGTAACCAGGTGAACAGATCTTCGGTGTCATTCTGTTCATTTCACAAAATACATTTTAATCTCTGCAATTCAGTGATTATTAAGCCTCATGTCACACCAGTGTTTTATGTAGAAAGAGGAATCTAAAAGTTTCTTGTCTTCTAATTCTTCCAATTACCATTTAATTTCAGAGCCATACTGTCAGTCTTACATTATCAGAACTGGTTGTCCTGGATTAAAGGTACTATTTTCAAGTAGCATTCTTGAAGACAGATTATTTTATTTTCCTTCCCCCCCCTCCCCCCATTATTTTTAGAATAATGAACCTGACATGCTAGCAAAGTTAACCTGAGATTTTCAGGGGGAGAAATTAGGGTGGATTGTGCTAGGGTTTTCTGGGTGTGGGGTTTTTGTTTGTTTTGATTTGGTTTGGTTTTTTCCCACATCTCCTGGAAGTAGTACTTGCCTGAATCAAATTTATTTTTAGCTTCTCTGCAACAGAGATGCCAATTCCTGTTTCCATCGGTGCTTTCAAGACTTTTGACTTCTTATTGCCAAGTAATTTGTAGAAGGTAGCTTTAATTTATCTACAGCAGTTGCATTCAGTTTAGCTTAGAAACAGGTTTGCTGTCTCAATTTGTCAGTTTTAAAGTTCATGTTTAAGAGAGGGGATTGAAAAAAAAACCAGACACCACTAGCTCAGAGTAGAGAACCAATGAGAACTTTGCACCTTTGATTCATACAAGAGTGATTACTCTAGAATATTTTCATATGAAAATTAAAATTGCATTGTTTCTTTCTTAGGCATGAGCTTCTAAAATGGAAAAGCACTACTATTTGTAGAATAACTGATCTATAGTTATGACACAGTACCGCCAAAAGCCTACCTTTCTGGTAAATGTAATTCTTTCAGAAATTGTTGTGTTTGCTGTGTTTATGGAAAGAGAATGTTAAGTTCTAGAAGTAGGCCTCATCCACCTCTGCAGGATATGACACAGCTCAGGAGCAGCTCTTACAGTGACTTCCAAGCTGGGATGCATGTTTATTTTCAACTCAGATGAAAAAAGGCTTTCTCAAAAAGAGAGCAGGTAACAAGATACAACAATTACTCTTTAAAATATTAGAGAACACACTTTTTTCACAGGATACACACAGGGTACAGTTTCAGCTTGTTACTTTCAATATTCACAGTAATACTTTTGAAAAATAATCTGTTTAAGTGCAGCTTAGAGCCATCAAGTGCAGTTTAGTTTATTCTGCAGAAATATTTCTAATATACCAAATCCCAGCTGAGTTACTCTTCTTGTGTTCAGACTTGCTCAACCAGTGATGCACTACATCAGTGCTGAAAGAGGTTTCTTGGAAAGCTTGAAGCTTCAAGGTTTTTTCCTGTTCCAACTGAAGCTCTGTACCAAAGAATCAACACAAAGCTCCTGTGCTCTAGATCTGCAGGATAAGACACTGATCAACAGGATAGCCTGTATATTGAAGATGCCATAATGCCCTTTGGGTTCAGGACATCCAAGTGGTAAGATTTCCCTAGCCAGATAGATTGTCCTGTACGTTTACTGCCGACTTAAATTTGTGGAGAAGGAACAGTGAGGAGACCAGTTGGCTTGATCTTGTTGATTCCTCCATCTAGGATGCAGACCCTTGGGTACTTGTTTTTCACTAGATGAGCTGCAAACTGAAACAGATACATCATTAGCACACTGCATATTATAGTCCTTAAACTGAAATAACATTGTGTTAAGTATGGCAAGTCAAACAAAAGAACCATCAGACCACAGAAGTTCTTTCTTTGCACCAACTAATCCAACACAGGAAGCCAGGCCTGTCTGTTGAAACAGCTGGGATGAATTTGGTTGTCACAAAAATGCCACACTGATAACCCTGAACTTCATCTATCTCTGCTTAGGCAGGATTTCCCCTCATTCTAACAGGATTATTTAATCTCTGAGTCATCACTGGAACCCCTCTTAAAGCATGAAATAACAGCTATTTTTCTCTGCATTAATCTAACTCCCAGATGTTTTCTGTAGGTTCCCAAGTGTACGAACATCACAGTTTGATGGTATAGTCATTTGCTTACCTGTCAAACTTATCCAACATGACTTGATTACATAGATGTCTGATATGAATTTGGGGTCTAGCAACTGCACTTTCCCTTGCTCCCCTCAACCTGTCCATAGGCAGGTTACATATCCCAAGCACATACACGCACACCAGTCCTTGAAAGTCTCTCTCTCCAATTAATTCATTCCATAAACCAAACACAGAAGTCAGTTTCTGTGTAGCAACTTCATGAAAAGTTGCTACACTGATGAAGGAACAATATTTTGTGTATCAAAAGAATGATTTTTAAAAAATCAAAATAACAAAAATTATGTATCAAAATATCAAAATCCAAACCCAAAGTAATGATATTTTGTGTATCACGTGTCAAACTTGCCTTTTTGCCATACATTAAAAAGCAAGCAACCAAAATGGATTAATCTGAGAGAAACCAATAGCTGTGAGAAAGACTGCCACGCCATCCCAGTCTTTCAAATTGTTGCTTTATACTTGATTGACAAACTAGGACTATTTGTAAAATCACTGAGTGCTTACAAATGGGCTGTGTAAAACATTCATAATTACCTTTTTCACCCTTTAAAATGATTTGTGATACTATTCCAGAACCCAGTGCAAGCACGATGTCCAAATAACTAACTCTGCATAAACAACTAAATTACCAACTCAAGAACAGCAGTAGATATTCCAACCAAACATGGAATTTCTTTTTACATTCACATTCCTTCTAATTACTTTTGATAGTATAACAGATACTAAGGCAGCACAAGATGTACTACATGATTACCTGATCAAGTACAAGTCCTGAAATAATATCTTTAACAGGTAAGAGTTCATAGGAGCAAAGTTTTAAACTCCTTACATAGCCAGAAGTTTTGCTTCACACTGAAAGTATTTTATATATGCGAGGAATTTATTTTTGTCCACTTAATGTGTCAAACACAGCTACTACATTCCTTTCTCTGGAATGGATTCACGATGGATTTAACCAGGGAATGAACAACTGGTACATGATCTGTAACCACTGAGGACTTGTTGAGGCAGAATAAGAGGTCACAGTGGAACAATCAGGACATTTTGGCTCTCATGTTTGTTTTAGGCGCTTGCCAAAGGAAGACCAAAAGTAAGCTCAATCATCTCTTCCCTCATTAGTTTGGGTCAATCACCACAGGATTCAAAGGATCAAATGAAAAAAACCTCACAAAATAGCTAATAGTAAAGTTAGACCATATGTGGATGCCAGTTTTCATAAGAAAAGAAAATGCCATGCTTTTAGAGAGGCTCTCTGATGCAGGTGGTGTAATATGCACATAGATATCACTAGGGGCATCCAACTACCTCTCACTATAATCACAGTCCATTAAGATGTGGTGTATAGTAAAATGAAAAGATATTTCTCTTTGTCAAAAATAGCACTCAGCTGTGCATACCATGAGCTACAAAAATAGTATATATTCCTAGTGAAATACTCCTACCAGACATCTCTACTTCATATGTACATATCTGTCACCTCACAGTGCTCTCTGCACCTGTGACTAATGGATGGTGCTCTGTCTTGTAAACCAGTGCTGCTCACAGCTGGCAGAAATGAAAAATGGCAACAACCGTTCAGACTGACAGGAAGCAGCATGTTATGTCCTGAGTGCAATGTCCCATATGTCAGCAGAGAGGTTCCACACACTGTCTGCTGATAATTTCACACTTCCAGTAATAAACTCTATAAACTCTGCTCCAGGTTTTTGGATACCCTAGCCATAACATAACTGCCATTCCATGCTATCAGAAAAGAAAACATGCAAGTAAATGCTCTAGAGTTTGACCATTAAGGCCTGTGTCCCACTGTATTTTAGAACTACTTTAGCAACCGAGGTGTGGCTGGAAATCGATTTTGTTCACTGCAAATGACAAGAGGTTCCTTTATAATGTTATGGTGAGGAATCTCACTTCTTGCAGGGCCTCTGTGAAGCAAGCACTGCAGAATCTGTGGCTGTTAGCAAATGACAGGCAGAAAGCACAAGAATATGACAAGATGATATACCACAAGTGGAACATTTTTTTTAAGTTGTCACAGAACTGTCTGCAGTTGTCTACATAGCTTCAGTGAGAAAGGCTGAAAATACAGCTCTAAATATTGTATCTGAACATCCAGCCAGGGAAAATCCAGTGAGCAGGGAATGTATTACTATTGGTACCTCACTACCGTGGGGAATTAGCTGCAGGTCAGGGGCCCAGAGGCATAGACATTGCACAAACTAGGAGCTGTCACCAAATTCCAAATATGAGCCTCCAAGAGCTTTGTGCATATGCCTGCCTCCACACTGCAAAGAAGAGAGTCAAAGTTTAAGTCATAGGGTAATAAGATTTGATCCAATTAAAGACATTCTTAGTTTTCCCTTCTGCCTTTTTACATTGTGTCACTGAAAGCAGAAACAGTAACTTTTGGTAAAAAGGACTACATTTAGAAGCAGCCATCTTACTAGTATTGCAGTCTTCCTAATTAAAGGTTTGACTTTATATAGTTCTGTTTCTCAGTACATGTTTGTGCCTTCCTCTCCCAGACAGAGGAGAACAACTGACGCAGACAAGAACAACAACTTGTTCACCATGTTTCTGAAGTGTTCCAGTACCACTTGGTATCTTTCTCTGCCAAAATATACTCTATGAAGCTGGTATTTTCAAAACACATGAAAGTGTTATTTCTGGCACAGGCACTGATGGAGAGGCATGAGACAAAGGACTATTTGAAATAGCTACATTGAATTCCTCCTCATTGTGACCTTCAGTTATGTTAAAATATCAGTAACTTAAATCCAAGAAATTAAGAAATATTAAAAAAAATAATCTTTCCTAAAAAGGTAAAAAAATCAGTGATCCAAAAAGAGCAAAACTTCACACATCAAAAAAGCCCAAGGTGCTCTTCTCAATTAATGCCATAGAATTTCTACCACAGAAACTGCCACCTTGAACTTCACACATGGGCTCTATTTCCTTCACAAATGCTATCATAAAGTATCAACTAGAAGTTTAATAACAGGCAACTAAATATATAATTTGTAGTTCACTAAATAACCTTATTTACAGAGATGCTCTTAAGACAGAAGATGACATAGTGAGGAGATCAGTAAAAGGTTACATCATCCTTAGTATCCTGTAAACCGTCTAAATATTAAAAAGAGATTTACTGAAACATATAAAAGTACTGCACAATTAAACTTCCATTACACAGGTTGATTTCAAATCGAAATGAACCTCTGTCATTTGTGGCTGGTGATTATGCTTTCTCAAATTTATCAAATGCCTGTGCTGACATTACTTCTGAGATGTATCTATTTCCTTGTACCACCAACGCATCACAGTCCTCTGTAATGCTTCTGCTTTCATTCAGATACCACTACTAATTGGGGGAAACAGAGTTACGCTTATCTAAGGTAAAGAATTAAAGGGATGCTACAAGACTTCAAGCTTTTTCCTTCCTGCCTCAGATGGCCTTTCCTCAAAATGTACTTCCCAAGGAAGCTCAGTTACTGTGTTTTCACTGGCTGCATCTAGCGTTTAAATTGAACTTCCTCTTGCTACTTTCACAGCAAATATTACATATGAAAGGATGAATCTGTAAGCAAGTTGTTTAATGACTACTATGTGGTAGCTTTGGTGAAGATTTTGGAAACAGTGTTCCTCTATTAAGTAATGCATCAATCAATTCCACATAAAACACCCTTCCTGGTGAGTATAACTGATCCAGAAAATTGTAATCTGCATTTGAAAGCAGTCATCCAAGATTCTTTCATGCAGATACAAGTCAGGCTTTCAAAGACAGACAAGATCCCAGCAAATCAGTATCAAAATTTGGGCAGAATTTAAATGTTTTAACCTGTATTGGTGTTGCTTTCAATAAAAATAGCATATCAGGACTGCTCCTTTAGGTATCATCAAGAACCTTAATAAACTGCACATTGAAGCATTTATCAAAATGCTTCTACTACCCTGTTCAAAGCAGTAAAATCATAGCTTTCAAGTGTGCTGAATAATGTGTTACACCAGGCATGTCACATTTTTAGACCGCGTACAGCAACGAGTCTAGTAACACAACAGTTTGAGCAGCATCGTTCCCAGCACCCTCTGGGTTAGCCATCGGGGTTGCTGTGTACACATTATTCACTTTCAGAGACTCTCTTCTGAGAGGTTGTAATTAAAGGGAAAGTTGGGAGGGAAGGAGGAGTAACATACCATTCCAGAATACAAAAAAAGACTGCTGTGAAAAATGTTACCAGGGTATAAATGTTAATATCACACTCTGAAAGAGTCAGAAGAAAAAGGTACTTTGGAAGCTGGAGGAGAAATATCAACCAAATGTTGTAGCATTCACCAATCACCACAAGATAATTGTTACTAGTTTTAATGTAATTAATGTTTCACTTGTAAACACATGCTACACAAACTCTCAGGGTCCGCAGTTTGTTTTGCTGTATGATTTCAGTCAAGAGTTCAGCACACTGAAAGCACATCATAGTCAGGGTAATCAGTCTAGAGCTTTTTAAATGACACTTTCCATATGTCACAAAGCAGACTCAGCACAAGATTATTTTTAGTCAATTACGTCTCATACTTAAAGGG